ACCGACGACGATGATACCAGTCAACAACGGAGACGCTACCAGTTCTGAACGGAGGAGGCAGATAATGCGATGTCATTATAGAACGTCAGAAAAGGCTCCACGAAAACGACACCGCTTACAGTTGGAAACTGCAATATATTCTCACTCACTGGGAAACAACAACAGTTACTTGATGAGGCCATAAAGTGCAAACTCGACATTTCTGGACTATCATCAACGATACGCCAAGGCTCTAAAATCCTGAACCCCTGCGGCTGGAAGTTATTCTAATCAGGTGTCGATATAACGACAGGCGTCTTGTCCAGTGATGGTGTTCTGGTACAACCCAACCTCGCAGACAGAAGCATAGATTGGAAGCCTCTCAGCGGAAGAATGGAAATCCTCCAACTGAAGCTACAACAGGCTAAACCACTGACCTCGATACAGGTCTATTCGCCCGATTTGGAAGGAGAATGTAATACCTTTCTCGAGTAAGTGTGCTCTGCCAGAACTGCGAATACAGACTTTCCCGTATTCATGGACGATTTTAATGCGCATGTCTGAAAAGGCGCTGGAAAGTGGAACGGCGTAATTGGAAAAAACGGCCTAACGACCTTAAAAATTACGGCATGAAGCTATTGCGCTTTTGTGCAAACGACAGACTCTTCAATATGAACACCTTCTTCGAGTATCGAAGAGTGCATATGTATACCTGGTACCGGGAAGCTTGTGCAAAGAAGTCGATGATCGATTTTATAATCGTTATCACCTGACTTAAGAGCTCAGTAATGGCTGTTCACGTTAAGAAAGGCAGAGAGCTACCAGCCGATCACCACCTTGTTGATGGCACGATGCACTGTAAGAAATGGTGCACCATGCGAAGATCTGGTGGCAGCAGCAACCAGAGAATCAAATGGGAAACATTATTTTCGGTGGACATGAGAGCGAGATTTGCAAACAGCATCGCACGACGGTTTTCACAGACCCCAGTGATAGCAACTGATATGGAAACCGAGTGGCAGCTCTTTAACAGCGGTATACTCGAGGCCGCCGCCGAATGCTGCGGCTTTAAACGGATTGGCCTGCAATCAGGAGGTCAGAAAAGATCTTGTTGGTGGATACGACAGGTACAACTGACAGTTAAAGGGAAGGCAGCGTTCACAAAATGGCTTCGAAA